CAATTATTGCCTTCCCAAGGCTAATCGACTCTTTGGTTTAAATTCCAAACTGAATTTTATTTACTTTTTGATCCTAATTTTAGAAGTTTGGATTTTCCTAAATATACTAAATGTATATAGTAAAATCTAAATACATGCATAACTACTGGCTAGCTAGCCCCGTGCCGCATTCTTGTTTGGGTGTGGTCAGACCATGCACATCTCGTGTGACACCCCCCCCTGTTATTAGGGTTCGTGTAACCCCGTTACAAAAACCTACTCCTTTTATATAAGCCGATAGTTAAATTACAAATTTGAACTGATGAATGTTTGTCGATATTTGATAGCGTGCATGTTGTCTCTAACCTGCCATTAACTGGCTTTTTGTGTTTGAGGCGTCTTGTTTATGACCTTGAGCTCACCGTACTTAGTAGAGATTTCTATCCAATCCGTTGATGGCTAATACTACTGTCACTTGGCGCAGCGTGCCGCTTTTAAATGCATCAGGTGTGCTAACGCCCGATGGCATACGGCTGCTAGAACTCGAGCTGAATGAGGAGCGTTTGGCGGTTATTACTTTTGTCGGTCCGCCATCCACTCGTACCGCGAGGAATGAGTTGGTGATCAAACTACTGGGACAGACGGATGCTGCTGTTCCATCTTCAGATGACGAGTCTCTTATTCTGCTGGCTAGCGTCTCGCACCGTGAAAGAGATTTTCAGCTACTTTTCTTAGACATAAATGCAACAAATATCACAGACCCAGATGCGTGCTCGGGCCTCGAGCAGCTAATCGGCGCCGTTTGCGCGCTGTCGTCGTTGGTAATCTCATGTTATGATGAAATTAATTTGATGAGCAGCTTCGTTTCTCTCCTTTGGCAGTTCCAGTCGCTTTTTCAGACACTGGTAGATGAATTTGTCACTGTGGAAGTATTCGAAATAATTCCCAAGTTGCTAAGCATCGACTATTCCCCAAATCGTTCGCTTGCAGATAAGCTGGTAGAAGCTAAGAACAAAGGGCAAGAAATTAGCGCTTCGACGCTAGCAAATCTCATTAAATTAAGAGATTTGGGGTTTTTCTGTCCTAACAGCATTGCACAAATGACCTTTGACGATTTTGTTGGGGATTTTGCGACTGTCAAAAGTTTATTCGGACTCGAAATGACAGGTGAAGTATTGGGTGGGCTGCTGCGCAAGTTATCACTGCAGATAGACGAACAGAGGCCTTTAGATTTTGGGATTGCCTGGGATGACTTTGTGGAAGACAAGTGCCGTGCACAGGCAGAGGAAGCATTGAGCACGTACGTAGATTGCGTTCATCCGGCTGTATTGGAGCATCCCCCTATGGAGTTTGAGGCGTTTAAACAATTGCACGAAGACATTTGGCGGCTAAGTTTGGATGTATATCGTTCAACAAGCAAGTTTAAGTCTATTAAGTACCGGACTGTTCGTAAGCAGCTGAAGGCAGATATTCACATACAATATGATCACGAACTTGACAGTCTCACGCAAAAATCACGCGAGTTTTGTGAAAGTATTCGACACGATCTGTGGGCTGATCTTTATGCACATGCTACGCAAACACCTGATGATAGAACATTTGCCGCAATGCTACTTGCTATTCAAGAATTTGACCAGCAATACAATGAGAAGGCTAGTGGTCCAGAAAAAGCTGCTGTTCTTCGAAGTTTTTACAAAAACGAGGCGATTCAAGCCTTTCATCAGCTTGAAAGCGTCATTACTCAGCAGTGGAGTGAGCAACGCTTACAAAAACTGCGACTTCAACTTGAAAAAGACTTTGATGACAAAAAAACGGATCTTGTGAAACATTTCATGCATAAGGAAGCTGAGTTGCGCTCTGGAATGGCACGCGACATGGAGACGATGCAAAAGATGCTAGAAGCAAAGGTTGCTCGCGCGAAAATTGAAGAGAGCGAGGCCAAAAGGCATCGAGATAAACTTGTTGAATTGAAGCGTCACAATACAGAGCTACAAGAGAAATTAGTAATACTGGAGCACAAACAACAAGATGCATTAATTCAAAATGCAGTGCTTATCACGCAAGTGGGTGAACTGGAACATGTGGTACAGCGTGAAATTGAAAGCCGCACAGAATTAGTTGAAACACTAGCACTGACGATAGATAAGGCCAAGAAGGAGGAGTTCGCGCTAAATGAGAGAATTGGTGAATTGCAATTAGAGTTGGGAGAGAAAACTTTACGTATCGAGGGTGAGCTGCAGGACTTGACCCAGCGACTACGAAAGACAAATGAGGTAGGATCTTCTATTCAATTTGCTACTGAAGATAATGATTTTATTGCAAGTTCACTGGTCTGGTAGGAAAAGGAAGAACTTCAAGAAAAGCTTAGCGAGCTTATGTTCAAAGTTACGGCACTTCCGGAGGCCTTACAACAGCATCTCTTTTGCGTCGAAAACGATGGTCAAGTCGATTTTGCAGACGCCTTAACGAGTTTTATGAGCTGATAGATTAACCGCAAGTTTGATAGGCTTCCGCATCAAATGCCACTCCCGGCCCTTCTGTTGCAAAACACATGCTCTACCAGCTGAGCTTAAGGAGACAATCGCAAGCGTGCTGCGAAAGAAACTGCAGAAGGCTCAATGCGGTGGTAAAGAATCGCGTGGTGTTGTATCGATAGTCATAAGGTGTGCGTTTCGTATGTTGCATGAGACGATTTTCATGTATTATTTATCACATCACACATTCTAAATAAAAATATGAAGCCAATTCAAAATTCTATCACATTGGTTAATACAGTAGTGTAACATTTGTTTATGTCGTAGAACTACAGCATAGTTTATTGCTCGATATCCTGACACACTTTATGTCAACACCAAAAAATGAAAAATGTATCCAAAGCGGCTTAGATAAGCAGACCTTGCATGAGCGGCCATCGTTATGAATTTGGACACTTAGCAAGCAATCGACAATGTATAAATTTTTGAGTCGTTGCAATATTTTCAATGTATGGTCTTGCTGCGTTAAGTGCTTCATCTTTCCAAGCCTTTATTGGCTCGCGCTTTGCTGTCAACCGCTAGCGATGAAGCGTACAGACCCACGTCAGCGCTTGTAAGAGGACTTGCCTCCTATCAGAATATTGGCAAAAAGCCTTCACGTTACCTCTTGTATCAAGATTCAGCTTTATTGCGGAATCTAACTCGGATTTCTTCGCGTTCATCATATATACGACGAATACATTCTAGATCTTTGCTGATCACAAAACTGCACACTTTGCAAAAATATTAGTACTGGGTAAAGAATGAGAGTGATGGTATATAGAGAGATTTAAGCTGCCGGAACCCACACGCTAGGATTAAGCTTTCTCTAGCGCGGAATGCTGGTAGCTATCCGAACCATTTGGGGACCGAGTTCCGTACCCCTCATTACACTATGGGGGCTATCGGTCGGTCGGTCTCATCCCACCCAGCTATCACACACCCAATCGGGTGCGGGTTGGCAGGGCAATCACACCACAGGGGTGTAATTGCTCGTCCACTTTAGGACCTATCTCCGGCGTCCTTGATTCGGATCCAAGTATATCGAATCAGGTACCCCCCGGTCCCAGACCAAGCTACAAAGCACTTGAGCCAGGGATCGGTAGTGATGGTATCTAGAATAGGAGATCTTTAGTAAAATCAGGGCTAGTCTCTATTACTCGCAACACACAATCACTGCTGCAAGCCATCGCGATCTATCTCAATTGGGACAACTAAATTTATTGGACATACGGTCGCTTTTCCCGTCTCAACAGAGGCAACACCGGTGGAAACGCAGCTTAAAGCTGGCCATATTCGTCTCAACTCGGAGAAAACCCAGCTTAAAGCTGTCCATATTCGTATCAGCGGGTTACCGCCTGGAGACAGCAATATATGGTTTCCGACTTTCGTCTCAGCAAGGTATATCCCTAGCACTATAAATGCTTATTAATTTAGACAATCATATGTCTTGAAACGCAATTTAGCGTAGATCTAAAGCGCTTTACCTTTTCAGCAAAATTAGGTTTATGACTCATTTTAAAGAAGTGTGTTTCACATATCTCATCCTCATGGGTTTCCAGCTAAGCTATACCTTGAATATGATCGAATCTTGCACACTGCGGTATTAATGTCTTGACACTCGTATGTCATCGTATTATGTTTACTGAGATTCTGACGTAACTGTGTTGCACGAGATTGCACATCGCTTTTAAATCCATCAGAACTTTCATGGCTTCACAAGGCCCATAACGGTGATGTTCACGACCAACAAACCTGGCCAAATGTCTCTCAAAATGCTTCACTCCGTGAATGACTGACCTCAATTTCTGCGAGATACTTTAATCTCCGCACGATTCCAGTAGGCACAGGATTGTCAAGTGGGTCTCGGCACCTCTCTAAAATGGGATGACGACGGCTCTGCGCGTGAGCGTGACCCGTTGTATCATTCAACTGCGAGATTATATGCAGGCCGTTAGCGCTCAATAGCCAGATATATTCTTGTAGAGAGTAATTTGGACGAAATGCTCTGGAACATGTTCCAGCGGTTGTTACATACACCAGCGACATCCAATAACCTCGCAGCACGGCTGTTTAGACGGCATCATGCCCATAGTCGTGCCAAACAACGAGTTATCATACGTAGACATCCAAATCAAGCACTTGCGAACAATACTTGACTGTATGCGCTTTAAAAGGCTGTTTGCCAACATAGACGTGTGTCTTTGACCTCGACAAGACATAAATGGGATGATTTGTAAAAAAATGACATGCGGGTAGATCTTGCAAGAACCAGCTCTATTGTTTATTGGGCAGTGGCACTACACTGAAAGATACAACGAACGTGGCCTGGCGAAATCATGAAACAAGTACAATTCAAAGCAAATGCCGTTGTACGACCGTCACTTAAATGAAAAAGGACGCTGCTTTGATGCCTGTTAGTAAAGGCCTCGTATGTGCCCAATTTTCGGACTTTCCAAAAACAACTCGGCGATTTATGTCGTACGTAACGCTTCAACCTTCGCAATAAAAGATGCAACTCGGTACGAACATAAAATTGTGCTTGAACTTCGCCATTCTGATGCGACAGAGATGAATTATCTGATTCATGGCCAGGAGCAACTTGTTATGTGCGCTTGTGAAAGTCAAATTCTTCGCCAGCGCAATATGAATTTGCTTGTTTTTAAAAATATTGACTGCATCGCTTGATACCAACCACTAATTTCGACAAACAATTCTTCTTGCTACTCACAGCTCTGAGCTTCAGAAGCGGTATTATCTGGGGGGGTCTAGTGATGCCACAGTGTCTTTCCAACGTCCTAGCGACATTTAATAGTCTAGAAAATTAAACTGGCGATTTTGTAATCGCCTTGCCACACAAATTTAATCATAATAGGCAGCTAAATGTATAAGCGCGATTGGTGTAACGGGGTTACACTTACCCTTGTATGAAAGGGTGGGTCACACAAGATAGTGTGACCATACAGAGGTGTAGATGACACAAGTTGGTGTATTCACACAATGGTCATAACAAGAAGCCACTACGTGGTGGGACTGCCAGTAGGTATGCATATTAATTAGACTTTCCTATTTTATAGAAAAACCTAAGCTTTTAGACATAGGCGGCTCTGCCGCAAATAAAAACAAATGAGTACTGTTTTAATTTTGACCGGAGAATTTCATTTGCCTTAGGTTAAGGTTTTGGTTACTCTTGGAAGTAGCGGGTGGCGATTGCGATCCGCTACACTCGTATTGGTTCTAGTATACAACGTGAGGTCAGTGACCTTAGCTTAGCTTCCTCAAACAAAGAGCTACGGCAGCCCCGCTGCACTTGGTAGCACCCGTAGTCAATCTACGCCTGAATCGTTGCGACTGATCCTCTGTGAGGATGGAGTGATTCTCCTATTTACCCCAGGGCATGCAGGACGGGCTTAAAAAGCTGATGTCCCTTCTTGGCCCTGAGGGCGTGAAACACCTTGCTTTGCTAGGACCCGAAGCGATAAGCGCGCGCCAAGAGGCGTTTTCGAGCTATGAAAATGCTCCACTAGAGCACCTACAGCAGAAGATGTCGGCGTCGACTGCGTCCATGATGCCACCGTCGGTGACGATAGACTTCCCCCAACCCAAGCCAAGTGTTAAGACCTTCGAGGGCAAGGATAGAGAGAATATCTCGCTCTGAGTGAGAGAGGTCGGGACGGCCAAGGCGTTTGACACCGAGCAACAGCACCTGGCACTAGCTATCTCCAAGCTCAGGGGTCGAGCGCTAGAATGGGCACTGACGTGCAGCATTTCGGCCGAAGCAGCGTTTCCCTCCTGGATGGAGCTGGAGCTACAGCTTTCACGAGTGTTCTCGCCGCCTAATCAGGCATATCGCGTGCGTTCGCGTTTATTTGCTGCCCGACAGGGCAAGAAGGAGTTGGCGGACTTTGTCTGGGTGTTGAGAGCTCTCATTGCCGGTATGGCGACCGATCCTCTTCTCAAAACGGTCACAGTGACCGTCTCTATGGAGGGCCTCCGCACAAGCGTGGTCAAAATGGAAATCTTTCATATGCACTCGTCTTCTATTGAAAAAGCGGTGAATGTGGAATTGAATACCATACTAAGCTTTAAGCCGGCACAACTTGGTTGGAATGCACGCTCTAGCAGCTAATCGAGCGGGCCTGAGCCTAAGAGTCTCAGCTATGCTGAGGATGAGGAGGCTGAGCTCCGATCTGGCGAGCAGCGTTCGAACACCCTACGGTGTTTTGTCTGCGGAGACACCGTTTATTTTTGAAATTGGTTGTCTCCTGCGCAAGGCGCATCAAGGTTCATCGAACCGACGCTTCGTTTCTCACCAGTCTTCTGGTTTATCGCGGGGAACACCCAGTAGGCACGGGGCGACCTACTGGGGAAGAACTGAGTTCTGTTGAACCTCAAGGGGAAGAAGTTAGCAGGGCGTAGCCCTGAAGAGCTTCGTGGTTTTGAACACGGAGCTTGTATGCAAACCGGGCTTGCTGGTCGACTGTGAAGTGCTTCAAAAATCCATGGAAGAACCCGATCGACTCCGGGGCGTCGGACAGTTATGCTCGACGCTCCACGATGGAAGGAAGTCAGTTGAATGCTGAGGAATTGAGAGCGCGGTTGAGAGAGATCGTCACTGTTCGCTACCGACGGGGACTTGCGTCACTGTGTCGAGGGTTTCTGTAGACATCGATACAAGTTTTTTGACTTTGATAAAATGTAAAACAGCTTAGTCTTAGACAAGGATTCAGGATATGACTTTATCCTTGATACAGCATGGCTGGCACACCATGAACCATGGATCGACTGGAGGCCGAAGACCTTGGGGGCTACGTGCACGTACCCTGGTGAAGCTTTGGTGAGTTCTGAACCCACCTCTGCTAGGAGGCAGAAACGCTATTGTCGATGGCACTGGACCGATACGGTCAACGTGCTGGACATTGTGGTATCCGAGTTGATGAAGGTGTATCGGACGGGAGTCCCGAGAATGGCTTGTGGGCTGAACGCGGAGTGGCACGTAACCCAGTGAGCGCTACTCACGTTTTAAAGGAGCTGCTTCATGCCAAGAAAGGCATGGTCAGACGAGGTCCGAGGCATCTTGGGCAAGGCCCTCCTGATGGGCATGACGTGGCACGTTCCTCCACTGGACGAAGACTGCAGTAATAGCAGCTCTTCGTCGGATGTTATTAATAACGTCAAGGCTCCGATAAAACAGGGAGTGGGGACACTGGACGACGCTGAGTTCGTGTTCCCACTGGTCTCGATAAGACGTAAGACTTCTATAGAGAGAAGACAACAATGCCGTTTGTAATCTGCAAGACGCAGAGCGTTGACCCTGACCCATGGTGTGTCTATCGTAGACGACAGCACACAGCTATACACTGGTATGACGGGAGAGGAAGGTGGCAACGTCACCCTTGAGGCTATTCCCGCGGTGATAGATCTTCTTCAGCTGGACGAGATGTCTTTGGAGGAGTTTTGCGGTGCATTATTCAGGATATAAGAAGGGCAGAGGTAGAAGTGATGTGTGCTTGTGTGTGCAAATGCAGAAGTGAGTGTATTAATGTTAGACGCAATTGTGTGGGCCCACGCGCAACTGCCTTGCGGTCCACACAACATACTAAACCTAAGTTTAAAGCTTCTAACCCATCCTGAAGTATGTGGAACACTCTAACTCAGTCTTTGCGCGAATCTAAAATAAGTACACACTTTAATATCCAGACATATGCAGTCTTAACCATAAAGGTTAAACACGCAATAACCATCCTTAGTGGGAATTGAACTCACAACTTGCCGTTTAGCATTACCATGCCAGACCACTTGAGCCAGTCACCATAACTTATGAGTTAGTGCAAGCATTGACTACAGCAGCATATTTAACACCTTGAAGGCAGGCAAATTAGCCGAGGTGGTCATTATACAACCGGAAGAGGAGATTAACTCGTCGTCGCTTATGGATGAAGCTGTTCTGGAGGACACCAAGAGGGCCCCGGAGGACACCACGAGGGTGCTGAACGCACAAAGGTGACCTTCGATCCTGAATTATTTCTCGGATCCGTACTATTCTTCAGTAAAAGAATTTCAAGACGTCATCTCCAAAGACCCGTCGTCGGTCCTAACTCTGGATGGAAGTGTGCGTCGTTCTGGGAACCAAATACTGCGTAACGCGCCAATGGCCCCTGCCTGTGCAGGAATGGTGCGCGAGAGCAAGTCTCCTCATTCGATACCCACGCTTTGTGTCCGGAAACCGGACGGCAAGTGGCGTATCGATCACGCTTACAATAAGCTCGACGCTGCCACCATTCCGACACAGGCATCAAATCCTAGAAAGGATGTTCTCCAGATCAATATGGTTGGATGTAAAAGGTACAGTGCACTCGACTTGGTCGATGGATATTACCAATTCCTCATGAGAGCGAGTGATATTCTGCTGACAGCGGCAAGTACTCTGAGTAAAATGCTATGGGAGTGGCTGGGGATGCCCCAAGGGCTGTCAAACGCACTACCAACCTAAATCGTCTTGTGATGCAGTTGTTCA